GTGGCAGCCCCTGAGATATTGGAAGACTGCTATCGTGTCCCCCCTCGTCCTTCTCTTCATTAAACTAGACATACCCAAATCCAGCAACCGTTCCTTATATGTTTTAGCCTCCAGTCCCCTAATCATCTTTGTTGCTCTTCTCTGTACTCTTTCTAGAGTCTCAACATCTTTTTTACATCGTGGTGACCAAAACTGGATGCAGTATTCCAAGTGTGGCCTTACCAAGGCATTGTAGAGTGGTATTAATACTTCACGTGATCTTGATTCTATCCCTCTGTTAATGCAGCCTAGCACTGTGTTGGCCTTTTTGGTAGCTGCAGCACACCGCTGGCTCATATTTAAGTGATTGTCCACTAGGACTCCAAAATCCCTCTCACAGTTGTTACTATTGAGCAAGGTACCACCTATCCTACACCTGTGCGTTTGGTTTTTCTTGCCTAAATGTAGAACCTTACTTTTTTTACCACTGAATTTCATTTTGTTAGATAGCGCCCAGTGTTCAAGTCTTTCCAGTTCCTCTTGTATCCTAAGCTTGTCTTCTGGAGTGTTGGGGTACAAGACAGGGCTGCCCCTTTCAGATTTATCCAATCTTTCATTTATACAGGTCCTCAACTTACAAGCACTCCCTTAGCGACCATTCAAAGTTACGACAGCACTGAAAAATGTGGCTTAGGATCGTTTTTTGCACATGGTCATGTGATCAAAATTATATGTCTCTATATAATTATATATCCATATCTATATCTATGTTATATCTATATATATATATATATCCATAATCATATATATCATGCTTTAGTCAGTGAATCCCGAATGTAGATTATTTATACTGCTAACATGAGATTTTGGCAATGCTTCTGTGAAATTTTCTAGGCATGAAAATGCGGTATGAATATATGGCTAGATGAAGCTTTTTTTTCCCAGATTTGATGTAATATCACTCATAAACAGGATATTTCTGTATCGTAGGATTTTAATCAAAACTATTCAAAGGATGCTGTTGAAAGACAGAAGCTTTGGAAAAGCTGGAAAACGGAGGAAATAAAAAATTATGGTACCTTTCCTTTATTACATATCCTTTTTACAATCTTTCATATTTTTTCATTTTCGGTCTATTTGGCAGCGTTTAAAAAAACCAATCTTTTTTTATTTAAAGAGGTTTCTAATATTATGTTCAGAGGTGTTTTGAATGGTCCGTTGATGAATAATATAAAAAAAAAAGATTCAAAATTCAGCTTGTTATGTGGATATGGGAAGGAGCTTCAGGACATTACGGAGATGTGAATAAAGACATATATCTATTTAAAATCAGTTTCCTGCCTTCTTTTCCAGAATTGTTATTATTTCTGAATCACCCTGACTATAATTGAGCTCTTGACTGTAATTACATAGCGCCGTCTTCCTCATTTCTTAGAAAAATTTCAATGGTCAAGTAAAAAAAAAAACAACCGCTGGATTTCCTCAGAAGCGGAATTCTCCAGTTGGACATCCAATTTCATTATCTCTCAAACTGTAAGCTGATTATAGGGGCTGATTGGGTAATTGTAAATTTTGTTTGAGAATGTTTGTTGCTTTCTCTCCTTCCTACCCAAAATGAACACATAAATGAGAATTCAGTGGCTTTTTTTTAGGAACATCAAATCCAGATTCTAATCTATTTTATTTATTTACAAAGGTAGTCCTCAATTATAACTATTCATTTAGTGACCATTTTTCATATGTGATCATTGCAGCATCCCCAATTTATTAAACAATATATATATATTATATATATCATATATATATATTAAATATAACAAAATTGACCAAAGTGAATATACATATATGACTTCAGCGAGGTGTAAGATATATTGATTCAATGAAGGAGAAAATTGGTAGCTCCGGGTTGAAATAATGATGCTTGATGCTCTCTGAGCTGGGTTGTTTTCTTGCAGATGTTTCATTACCCAAACTAACTAACATCAAACATCATCAGTCAAAATTTGGCTCATTATGCAGATATGCAAAGAGCTTTGGGACATCTGGCTCATGTGAATAAAAACCCATTATCTATTTAAAATTAGTTCCTGATATTATGATGATTTCTGAAGCTTTGGTTCTTGGCCACATTGACACAATATATATATACACATATACTCTTTCTTTCTTTCTTTCTTTCTTTCTTTCTTTCTTTCTTTCTTTCTTTCTTTCTTTCTTTCTTTCTTTTTCTTTTCCTTCCTTCCTGTTCTTTCTTTCTTTCTTTCTTTCTTTCTTTCTTTCTTTCTTTCTTTCTTTCTTTCTTTCTTTCTTTTTCTTTTCCTTCCTTCCTGTCTTTCTTTCTTTCTTTCTTTCTTTCTTTCTTTCTTTCTTTCTTTCTTTCTCTCTTTCTTTCTTTCTTTCTTTCTTTCTTTTTTCCTTCCTTCCTTCCTTCCTTCCTTCCTTCCTTCCTTCCTTCCTTCCTTCCTTCCTTCCTTCCTTCCTTCCTTCCTTTCTTCTTTGCTATATTATGCTCTCTCTCTCTCTCTCTCTCTCTCTCTCTCTCTCTGTATATTGCATGAGATTTTTTTTGTAATCATAAAGTTTATTGATAAAATCTTAAGTTTTGGGGCAGTTTGGTGTAACGTTGCTCAGGACTTTAGAAGGCTGCCCACACCTACTTTAGAGGTATGTGTGCATGAATATGCATAAACATATGTGCTGAGATTATATATCCACTAATACATATGGCACAATATTTAGGCAATCAAATCAGTCTTCTCTTGATCTGGTTTTCAAGACAAGCACCATCCCATCTGTCAGGGCTATGACACAGCATAATGAGATAAGCCTACTCTGTATTAAATTATGAAACCAATATAGTATTTAAATACCAGCGAATGATTGCAGTTGAACTCAAATGCAAATGTATTAAGTCTGCTACTTTGCCCCACTTTTCACAATCCACGAGTAATAATTCCGCTTAGTTTATTATTAGATTATTTTTCTTCCTTCCTTAAGGGACCAATGCACGCTGATCCAATTAGGATACTTCATTTGCTTTCCAATTTGCCTTTTTAAATTTCACATTTTCCTCGAAGAACCAGCTATGAAGCTGAAAGAGTGAGCGATGAAAATTCTCTTTACATTGAATTAGCCCAGTGTTTCTCAACCTTGACAATTTTAAGGCATGTGGACTTCAACTCCCAGAATTCCACAGACAGCAATGCTGGCTGTGGAATTCTGGGAGTTGAAGTCCACATGCCTTAAAATTGTCAAGGTTGAGAAACACTGATGCAGGGCAGGCAGCTTAGTGATGATTCATAAGCTTTGTTTTGGTTCTTTCATTTTTTTAGGAGGATTAGTTTGGTTTGGTTTTTTTTTTTTTTTCCTGTCTTTACTCCAGACTGTGGAAAGGGAAATAAAAACTGGAAAAAGAGTGGCCTGCCTGCTCTTCCTGATTGTTCACCTCACGGTGGGTAAAAATTTCTTCCAAACTAGCACAGCACTTGGAAAGAATTATAAATGCTTCTCCAGCGAGAGGCAGGTTTGGAATTTTCTGGGTGAATTTTTAGTAAGTAGCTAGGCCAGGGGTAGGCAACCTTGGCTCTTTTATGACTTGTGGACTTCAACTCCCAGAATTCCTGAGCCAGCATGGCTCAGCTTAGGAATCTCTCCCTTTCCCCTCAGCATGGCTGGCTCAGGAATTCTGGGAGTTGAAGTCCACGAGTCATGAAGGGGCCAAGGTTGCCTACCTCTGGCCTAGGCTGCTTTCTGACTCGTGAACTTCAACTCCCAGAATTCCTGAGCCAGCATGGCTCAGCTTGGAAACTCTTCCTTTCCCCTCAGCATGGCTGGCTGAGGAATTCTGGGAGTTGAAGTCCACGAGTCATGAAGGGGCCAAGGTTGCCTACCCCTGAGACAAAGCATTAGGGAGAGAAGAAAAATGAGAATTTAGCCAACAAAGAGTTGAATTAATCGCTCAAAAATAGATAGCTTTTCTAGGCATTTTTGAGGCTGTAGACTGGGTGTCCAACCTTGGCAATTTTAAGATCTGTGGACTTTCAGAATTTCAGCCGAAAAAGCCGGTAGAATCCTAAGCTGCATTAACACAGGGATAGAATCAAGATCACGTGAAGTGTTAATGCCACTTTACAATGCCTTAGTAAGACCACACTTGGAATACTGCGTCCAGCTTTGGTTGCCACAATGTAAAAAAGATGAGACTCTAGAAAGAGTGCAGAGAAGAGCAACAAAGATGATTAGGGGACTGGAGGCTGAAAAATATGCAGAACGGTTGCTGGAATTGGGCATGTCTAGTTTAATGAAGAGAAGGACTTAATTTAATGAAGAGAAGGATGAGAGGTGACATGATAGCAGTTTTCTAATATTTGGGGGGCTGTCACAAAGAAGAGAGAGTCAAGCTATTCTCCGAAGCACCTGAAGGCAGGACAAGAAGCAATGGATGGATACAAATCAAGGAGAGAATCAACCTAGAACTAAGGAGAAATTGTCTGATAGTGAGAACAATTAACCAATGGAACGACCTGCCTTCAAAAGTTGTGGAGACTCCATCACTGGAGGCTTTTAAGAAGAGACTGGACAGCCATTTGTCTGAAATGGTATAGGGCAGTGTTTCTCAACCTTGACAATTTTAAGGCATGTGGACTTCAACTCCCAGAATTCCACAGCCAGCATTGCTGGCTGTGGAATTCTGGGAGCTGAAGTCCACATGCCTTAAAATTGTCAAGGTTGAGAAACACTGGTATAGGATCTCCTGCTTGAGCAGGGGGTTGGGCTAGAAGACCTCCAAGGTCCCATCCAACTCTGTTATTCTATTAATTCCCCAGCAACACTGGCTGGGGAATTCTGGGAGTTGAAGTTCACAGGTCTTAAAAGTTGCCAAGGTTGGACACTCCCAGATTAGAGGGTCAAACACAATACAGGGCATCACAGTATCTGGGCTGGAGTTTCCATAGAAACCCCTGATGTTTTCATCCTGCATCACAATGCACAGCTTGCCCATAAAAAGGCTGGGAGTCAGCCGGGCCACTTCAAGGAATCTAGACTGCTTCAACCTGTTGGATGCTCCCACTCCTCTCCCACGGCTTGAATGCCTAGCCCTCAGTGACACCATGGCACGATTCCACCACAGCCGAAGCAGTAGTAGAAACTGCCGTTGGATGAGGAAACAAAGGCCTCGTGGTGGGGGCTCCGGGCGACGGGGCAGGGGCAGGAGAAGGGGAAAAGGTGGCCGAAAGAGGAGAGGTGGGTTGTGGGAAATTTCCTCTTGGGGGCCTTTTGGGATGGAGGAAATGGACTGTCTCATGAGCTGAATTGATCTACCACCCAGAGCCCTTGTCAAATGAAGTCACCAGCAATGAGTATCCATTTTTTAAAGTGGAAAAAAAAGATCTGGTGAAGGCAAATGGTAGAATAGAAAGTCAGACGTTCTTCACATCCAGCCTGCAGGAATAGGGATTTTTTTTTTCCAATTGCTTTGAAGAATGAGGTGGCTGGCAATTCTGGTCTCACTTGGACATAAAAGCCAGCTGGGTGACTTTAGGCCGATCACTAGGAGACTGTGAGTTCTAGCCCTGCCTTAAGCATGAAAGCCAGCTGGGTGACTTTGGGCCAATCACTAGGAGATTGTGAATTCTAGTCCTGCCTTAAGCTTGAAAGTCAGCTGGGTGATTTTGGGCCGATCACTAGGAGACTGTGAGTTCTAGTCCCGCCTTAGGCATGAAAACCAGCTAGGTGACTTTGGGCCGATCACTAGGAGATTGTGAATTCTAGTCCTGCCTTAAGCTTGAAAGCTGGGTGATTTGGGGCTGATCACTAGGAGATTGTGAATTTTATAGTCCTGCCTTAAGCTTGAAAGTCAGCTGGGTGACCTGGGGCCAGTCACCAGGAGACGGCGAGTTCTAGTCTTGCCTCAGTCAAAAAAAGTTCATTTTCATTTATGCAATTTTATCTGTTGTGGAGTCCCCTAAGAACTCTGGAAACTCAAGAGGTACATTTTTAAACAAATGTTAACTCTGCAGGTTGGATTCGATATATAAAAATACCCATTTTTGAAACCTGATTTCTTTTTCTAAGCATCCTGCTATTAAACAAAATTCTGATCTCTTTTTTTTCAGTAGGGACAGAGTTTAACTCCTAGAGAAGGAGGAGTAGTACTAAGAATTTTTGTCTTGTTTTTCATCTTCCAGGTTGTAGAGGAAAGGGAAGTAGAAGGAGAAGGAGAAGAAGACACTAAATTTGAGTAGGACTCATGACTGAAATCTCTTGTTCCAACCAAGGCAAATTTCCTCTTCAGTGTTTTTCAGCAGCAAATGAACGACAATCCTGCAATAAAGCCTGAAATGTTGTCACAGCACTTAAACAAACGGGGGAGTTTATTTTAAACCCTAAGATATTTATACTAACACAATAGTGTGAAATAAAAAATACAAGGGAAAATGTAATTTACAAAACCTAAAAATCCAGAGGGCTGGACAAGAAACAATGGAGGGAAACTGACCAAAGAGAGAAGCAACCTGGAATTAAGGGGAGAAACTTCCTAACAGTGAGGACAATTAACCAGTGGAACAGCTTGCCACCAGAAATCCCTGGAGGTTTTTAAGAAGAAACTGAGCAGCCACTTGTCTGAAATGGTATAGGGTCTCCTGCTTGAGCAGGGGGTTGGACTAGATGACCTCCAAGGTTCTATTCTATTCTATTCTATTCTACTCTACTCTACTCTACTCTACTCTATCTATCTATCTATCTATCTATCTATCTATCTATCTATCTATCTATCTATATATCTATCTATCTATTGTCTATCTGATAGACAATAGATAGATAAATAGATGATAGATTCTATCTATCTATCTATCTATCTATCTATCTATCTATCTATCTATCTATTGTCTATCTGATAGACAATAGATAGATAAATAGATGATAGATTCTATCTATCTATCTATCTATCTATCTATCTATCTATCTATCTATCTATCTATCTATCTATTTATCTGATAGACAATAGATAGATAGATAGATGATAGATTCTATCTATCTATCTATCTATCTATCTATCTATCTATCTATCTATCTATCTATCTATCTATCTCGATAGAGCTATAGATCAGAACATATATGGACTACTGTAGAGAAATCTTCCAGCATTTTCCTCTTTTTGCCTACATGCGTGTGGTTGAGTGCTGAGTCATCTACTTTTCTTTAAAAAATTCCAAGAGCACCACGACCTTGGCACAGATCTAATTACTTGCTTTCAGCCAATCACTCTAGGCCACTCTAGCCCTCCTTTACATTGTAGGATCTGTTTCTTTCCATAGGTCTCAGAACTGAGTAATGTTTTCAGTAACTGACAGCTTCTTTGATTAATGCTTCCAGTTCTTTGAAGTAAGAAAGCAAGGTGTCCCTGCAGAGTTTGATAAGGACTGGTTCAAACCTGTCAAGGAGAAGGATCCTACATAGATATGAACTTTAGTAATTCACAAACTCATTATCATGTGGGAAGCGCACCTACAATTTCTATGGCTTTTCTGATTATGCAGCCTGAAGGGACCATATGTCCCCGAGAGGGTTTAAGTGGGATGTGATGTAAATTTTATTCAAGCACAGGTCATAAAAATCTGGGACCATGTCATTGACTCTGAAAGGAGAGTGGATTATTAGTCTCTTGAGTTTTTAATGAATTTTACAAATAAATAAATAAATAAATAAAAATTAAAAAAAATTAAAGCTTAATTTTAACCGTTTTATGTTCACTGTTCCCCATCACAGTGTACAGAATCTTTGTAAACCTCTGCTTAATTATTGACGTTGATTGATATAAATTAGCAAATATTTTTAATGCCGATTTCTTTTTTTTTATTGAAAAAGTTTTATTGACAATTAACAAAAAATAAACCCACTAACCCACCCACCCCCACCCCCTACCCCCCCACTTCCCAGAGCCGAGTACAGGGTTATTACAAACATATTAAACAAAATCTAATTAAATTTAACAAATTATACAATAACTAAATTCATACTTAACCCTTAACTCCCTTTAAACCTTAATATCATGATATTGTAAACAAATCCATTTAAAAACAATTATTATAAAAAACCATAATAACAGTAAATAAACTAAATGATTTCCATTATAAAATGCTATTAATAATAATTATTATTTAAAATTTAATCATAAAATAAATGGAACTTTTTAGTTCCATATTTAATCTGAATGTAATCTATCCATCTTCTCCATACCATAATATATCTTTCTTGTGTATGATCCTTTAAATAAGCAGAAATTTTAGCCATTTCTGCTAAATTAGAAACCTTAAGTGTCCATTCTTCTATAATAGGCAACGAATCTTTCTTCCAATATTGACCTATCAATAAACTTGCTGCTGTTACTAGATTCAACATTAAAATAGTTTCTTTGACATCAAAATCCTCAAAAATCCCTAATAAAAATAGTTGAGGAGTAAACTTTATCTTCCTTTTAAAAATCTTTTGAATGTTCCACCAAATCATAATCCAAAAAGCCTTAATATTTTTACAAGTCCATCAAACATGACAGTAAGTTGCGTCAGAACTACCGCATCTCCAACATTTAGGCTGTAAATTAGGATACATACAAGACAACTTTTTAGGATCAAAATGCCACCTATAAAACATTTTGTAAAAATTTTCCCTTAAATTTTGAGCCTGTGTAAATTTAACATTTCTAATCCAAATTATCTCCCATAAATCCAATAGAATCGATTCCTGGATATTCTGAGCCTATTTAACCATACAATCTTTAACCAATTCCGTTTCCGAATCCAATTCTATTAACGCGTTATAAATTCTTTTTATGTGAGCCTGATTCTGATCTTTAATCTGAATTACCAAATTTTCATCTGCTAATGTTATTCCTACTTTCTTATCTAGAGTCCACCTATCCACTATTTGTAAATACTGCAACCATGACTGTAAAATATTTTCTTGCCTTAATACATCTAAAGATTTTAATTGCCAGTCAGTACCTGACCAAATAAGTAATTCTTTATACGGAATGTTTTCAAAATTCATCCCCTTAGAAATCCCCTCAATTGCATGTCCAGATTTCTTAAGATGAGAGACTTACACATATTCCTCTGAGGCAAACATTTGAAATGCAAACTGTCTCAGTGCTTTTTCTACATTCCTTCCCAAAGCAAGCAATATTATTTCCATGCTAGTCCCGTTATGGATTTCTTGGATTTGAAAAACTCCTTTCTTTATTGGTTTTTTAAAAAATTCTTATTCAGATTTCCATTCTTGAGCCAAAGAGATAACAATATACAGGTGCAAAGATAAATTAATTAAAAAAATACCTCTGTTAATAAAAAGAGGAACCATTGGATTAGAAAATTAAATCAGGCCAATAAAGAATAAAATAAAAAATCAATCCAAATAGGTGAAAATCAATCTTAAAAATAATAAAAAATAACTTCTTCAGTTAATCAGTGGAACTGCTTGCCACCAGAAGTTGTGGGTGCTCCATCACTGGAGGTTTCAAGAAGAGACTGGACAGCCATTTGTTTGAAATGGTAGAGGGTCTCCTGCTTAAGCAAGGGGCTGGACTAGAAGACCTCCAAGATCCCTTCCAATTCTGTTCTACTGTATTCTGTGTTTCTGTTTTCTGTAATCCTCAACTTACAACCACATTTGAGCTCAAAATTTCTGTTGCTAAGCGAGACATTGGTTAAGTGAGTTTTGCCTCATTTTACAACCTTTTTTTGCTACAGTGGTTAAATCACTGCAGTTGTTAAGTGAGTAACAGGATTGTTAAATGAATCTGACTTGGCTTGTCAAAAGGTCGCAAAAGGTGATCACATGACCCCGGGCCACTGCAACCATCATAAATGAGAGTCAGTTGCCAAGCGTCTGAATTTTGATCATGTGACCCTGGGGATGTTGCAACCGTCGTAAATGTGAAAAATGGCTATAAGTCGCTTTTTTTCAGAGCCATTGTAACTTTGAAGAGTCACTAAACCAGGGGTAGGCAACCTTGGCTCTTTTATGACTCGTGGACTTCAACTCCCAGAATTCCTGAGCCAGCCATGCTGAGGGGAAAGGGAAAGTTTCCAAGCTAAGCCATGCTGGCTCAGGAATTCTGGGAGTTGAAGTCCACAAGTCATAAAAGAGCCAAGGTTGCCTACCGCTGCACTAAACGGATGGTTATAAGTTGAGGACTTCCTGTACTACTTTCTAAATTATTTAGCATTGTTTAGGACTTGGTTTATCAGATACATGCCTAAATATTTCACAGGATGCTGGGTTTTTTAAAATAGTTATTATTAATTATGCTCTTCAATTTTTATCTCTTTTTTTAGTGTTTCTTCTCGTATTTTTTTACCATTAGCTGTTCTGTCCTAGATTTTTGTGTGTTTTCTTCTTCTTCGAGTAGATTGACTTGGTCGCTCAACAGAGAGACACTGGTGAAGCGGACACAGCAGCACCTGCATTTTCTGCGTCGTATGAGAAAAGTACATCTTCCTTCCCCTGTCCTGACCACTTTCTACAGGGGGACAATTGAGAGCATCCTGTCATACGGCATCACAGTCTGGTTTGGAAGCACCCCTGCTTCAGACAGGAAGGCGGTACAGAGGGTGGTGAGGACGGCCGAAAAGATCATTGGCAGCTCCCTCCCTCCCATCTAGGACACAGCACAGAAGCATTGCTTGAGCAGGGTCCACAACATCATCTGGGACACGACACATCCTCTACACGACCTGTTTTCCTTGTTCCCTTCTGGGAGGGGGAGGGGGCTCCATGGTATCCGAAGCAGAACATCCAGATTCAGCCATAGTTTCATTCCATACAGCATTAAGCTTCTTCCTTCCGTTATATATTCAAGATGGACACTGTTTAATATTCATTTGTTACGTATGTGTAGGGGTGTGGGTCCATACATATGTTGTATATAGTATGCTTAGGTGTGTGTTTCACTTTGGGAGCGTGCAACTAACTTTCATTTTTGATGTGTGCCGTTGTGCCCACAGTAAAAAAAAAATGACAATAAAGGTTATCTGTTGAGTCCGTGGCGGGAAAACAGACACGAGAAGCAGCTGGAGTTCTCAGTTTCATTTATTCAGCGTTCAGCTTACAGGAAGATGGCTTCAGCCTCGCCCAAACGCCTCGCAGCCTCTTATATAGGCAACTCCCAGGTAAATGGGTTACTTTTCCCGCGCCAGCACCCGCGCATGCGCACGGCGCTGGCGACAGCCTGTCTGGTCCCGGGCAGCTTTGCACCTGCCCGGGACTGCCTGCAAACGCCCGAGCCGTTTGCAAAGGCTCGGGACATAACACCCCTTTCCCCCGGGCTAAAACTACTACCAACATACAACATTTATTTTATATG